GAAGCTGTTAGAAAACATAAGATAGACGACTGAAATGATATGATACCCTGACATCTATTAAGTCTAGACGTCCCCTTGTACGTAGTTGAATCTTCGCCAAATCTCTATCCGGGCCTAACTTAGGACCTCGTCTGCCTTGTCATAGCCTTACAGCGGCGATAGACTACCGTCGGGAGAAAAGACTCAGATAGTCTTTTGAGGCAACTTTAGACGGCTAGCTCCGTTTAGTCGAGTAGGAAAGTCTGATTCAATGATATTAACTATATGGATCCGCAGCTTCGAAATGTCCGTGATATAGGCTAGAGCTACCGTCAAAATACTATCCAAGGCCCTCTCCACAATGTGCGCCACGTCTGCTTGCCTCACGTTAGCGCCATGTACTGGTTCGAAGACAAGAACTGGATAAAATTTTGAAGTAGACTTAGGTAGGTGTGAGCAATATATTAGGTCAATTAGACGGGTTGAACGACGTAGACTTGTCAAATCCACCGCTTCAAAACATTTTGTGATATGCTTATCAGTCAGTCTTAGAATACTGTCGGAGTCACTCTGCATGACAGTCATCACGCCCACCAATTCCACGTCTGGGCCATCTACCGATCCAGAGAAAGAGCTTGGACGGTATCTTAAGGCTGCGTCCGACGAGTATGTGTTGACAAGTATAGAAATCAGACAGATCGGACGAATGAATTGCAGTGCCTACACGGCATTAGAATGTCCCTCTTGCGCATGCTGGTCGACCTTATGGTACTGCGCGGACCTTTCTCCACAGCATCGGCCACGGTTTGCAGCCTTTGTGTCGACGACATCCATCGATCGAAAGGAAGAGTTTGAACGGTATGTTGAGACAGCTTTAATGGTAGACATAAGTGATCAAACCAGTAATTTCGAGAGAACTGCTTGAGGCCGCCCCAAGTCTCCGCCTCCCATCCGCGCCTACCCCTCGATGAGGTGAAGCTCATGCCATGGGCCGCCAAGTCAACGAGCAGCCTGGTCCCAGCACTGAAGTATGACAGTCCGCTGGGACGTTGCAACTACAACGACATCGTACCCCAGATTGAGATGATAGTTCGATACTAGCCACTGCACAAGCTCCCTCCCAGGAGTAGGATTGGTCTGGGGTCCCTAGGGCGCTGCGCGACGCTATTACGACAGTTGAGCAGGCTCATAAGGATGCTCTGAGATCGTTTCCTGACACCGAGACTGACACGTCCAAGCATCGTCAGAAGTGTCACTGTTTAGCGACGGCACCGTCCCTGGACCCCAGATGAGCACATGTCAAAATCCTAGGTGGCTTGGTTGCCCGAATCCGGAGAAGATTTAACGGAGGCCTGCAAGCAGATGGAAATTCAAAGATCCTCCATCAGCGCCGAGACGATAAACACAGGCCCAGCGTCGAATCTGCATCTCAAAAGTGTAAATACATTGAGCCCAGGGTCTCGTTGACATTTCAGGGCCTACGCGCAGACGACCGCAAGATAGCATAGCCAACCGCATCCAACCCTTGATCCAATGTCGTGATGTCGAACGCAGACCTAGACGCGATAGAGCCTCGAACCTATGAGTCAGTTGACGTCTTGGAGTTACACATTGCCACCTTGAGGGAAAGCACTCTCCTGCTTCAGAACTAGTCCCTGACCGGACATCTTTTCGACAGCCAGGCCAGGCTCCACTCTACGAACCATGAGGGCCATCCAGAGATAGGAGTTCAAACCGGAGGTTCGTACCTCGAGCAATCCCACAGCAGCGTGGCTGTCCCTGTTTCCGGTCCAGTGCGCTGAGGCGAACACCTATAACTGACCACATGCGTCGCGAATCGACGGCTTGCGAAGCCGATTTACAGGAGGTTTGCTGTCCATCAACGAGTTGTGAACTCAATTCCGGCAGTATGATCCATGATACAACCAGTGTAGCCTGGAGCAAGCCTTATGACCACCTACTCTATGATTACGGCGGCGGTGATATCCGTGATATTTGACACCGGTAGGTTTCTGATATACTTTCACTGGTTTGATAGGACTATACCCGGTCTGTGTCTTCTGAAGATAGCCGCCTTTGCCGTGGTCTGCGGTCGTCGCTTTAGCGGTAGTTTGTGAGAAGCATTTACTCCCGAGACAAACCCTTCATACCACGTTCACATCAGCCGAAAGAATCGCTGTCATCGAGGTGTGGAAGTAAGATTTCAGATGTGTTTGTTTTCGAGTTGAATACTCGAGCCGCTACCGTCAACTTCAAGACCGCCCTGTCAAGCTATCATGTCTGACGAGTCCTTGCACGCGTGTGCTCGCTGGTGTCATAGTACCTGATACACAGCCGATCGCGTCCGGTTTGGCCTTTGCTCGCTCCGTCTCCACTGACTATACGTACAATCACACCATCCGATCGTTCCTCTTTGGCTTCATCATTGCCGACAAGTTTACAGCGACCCAGTCCCGCGACCGTGAGGCGCACAGTGCACTCACCCGAAAGGGGCAGGATGATCAGTAGAACAAGCACCGCTTGCAGCTGGTTTGGGACGCCATCGCTTTGCATACCATAAGAAGCATAGTATGTCACGAGGAACCCGAGGTCCAGGCATACGCGTATAGCATGTGGGCTGATCTCCACGGACCTGACCGAGTGCCTGGTGGTTTGTTGTCGTAGAATGAGTGCAACGCCGTCGTCGAGGAGTTTTCACGCCTGGGTCTTATGAAGGGCTTGGAGGAGAACATGCTCCATTTATGTCTGAACAAGCCGGAGACAACGTATGACAACACTGTTGGCGAGTGGGACGACAAATATCTAGAAGAGGAGGAATACAGCAGTAAGGGAAAGCTTACCCAGGATTTGCTTGCCACATGCAACCTAGATGACATCGGAGTGTGATAGAAGGCCGATAGTACCGTCGCTTTCAACGCTTAGTGGCGACACTGGACAGGCCTTACGGCCATTGGAGCTGTCTGCGAATCTCGGCAAAACGGTCGGATACGGCAGGAGCTCAGTATGTGGGCAAAGGACAGCAGAGTGACTTCGAGCCGCGGAACCTGTGTCAAGTTGGTGTAGTCACATGAGTCTTCCCGAGCCATCGCGTGGGCTGTAGTGGCTTGAGCATGTCAGTCATGGTTGGGTTTCGGGCAGGAAAGGTAAAGTCAAATATCGGGTCCTCTCTTCGTACACTCTGATCATCTGGTGTCCTTGAGACAATGCCGATGTACGGCGTGTGACACTTCTTTTACTCAGCCTGTACATATGCGATGGTGCCTGGAACATTCAGTAATGTTGTTCAAGATATTCAAGACATGGCCAAGACGATGATGGAAGTATCAGGACAACTGGACAGATGATTTTGCTGATTCGGCTAGCATTTGCATGATGAGTAGCTACGTAGAAGATCAACTGGCAGTTGTATAGAAACTTATAAGGCCAACTGCATGGAATGTAGCTGTATCATGGGTTTTTGCATTGGCAACCCTCCACGTTTGACGTCTTTGTGGATGAACCGCTTGAAGCTCTTCGAGCACAGCGACTTGCCAGCCGAGGAAAGCCAGTACGAAATTGACGTTATAGGCCAGTCACTTTTAGACGGCATAGGCCTCACCTGGAGATGGTGACTGCTCTCTGCCACAACTCGTAGTCAAAGCCTTGCCTAATGTCGAATACAGATAGTATCTACATGATCCAGAAGAAGCCATTGGAAGCTCGTATAGCACTATAGCAGTATAGCTACCACTCAGACCATTGTGAGCGGAGTAGTCCTTCCAACTGGCACCTTAGATAGGACTGCAATCACTGCACGCATCTTCGCGTCCAGTCGAGGTGCGTTGTCATCTGATTAAGTCGGCACACGGGCCGCTGGAGATGGTGTCTGGCCAGGTAGGCCGCAGCGCTTCTTGTTCTGCCAAAGCGAGAGGCTGTTGCGCACCGTCTCGTATCCGTGCTGTGGTATTAATCGAAGAGCTAATTGGCAGCAAGCGACAAGAAGATGCTGCCAAAGCATGTTGCGGTGATCATCGGACAGCCTTTGTGTAGTCAGCCCTGTCGCTGGCGGATACCGGAAGATGGCCTTGTCGCACAGAGAACGCGGTGAGATCGCCCTGTAGGACCTCAGAGTGACAGTCACTCCAAGGAGTCCACTGACATAACTGCATGGAATGCAGGTTACCGGACTGGAACAAAACACTGTCCAGCGATGTCTTACAGGCGTGGTCAAACGATTCATGGCCATCTGGACCCGATATATTGGATTTCGTTTCGAGACTTGCCAGCCTAGAGTCAAGCAGATACTACGTTCGGGGCGACTTGAACTGCTATTTCAGTCACAGACGGGCTCAGACATTGATGCAGCATCGATCCGAAGAGGAACACAAAGGTCAAGGTAGAGAACGGCCCGTTGGGAGGGTCATGACCGTTACAAGTCTGGTAAGTATTTCATAAATCAAGCCTTATAGCATGCCGCGAGGCAGTGATAGCAGTAGCACTGGCGTCCGGGGAAGTGCGGATATTGATGCGGACGTCATTCATTTGCTGCTCGAACGGACGGTCGGACGGCATGCAGATGGCGAGGACTACTGGGTGATCATGCCATGAGATTAGGTGCAATTGCAAACCAGGTTATGCTGCAGGGCGTTAATTGCGGCCGTTGCCATGGCGAACCTCTCTGTTGTGTCCATAGCTCCTCCCCGGGAGCTCGCCCGTCGCTGTCCAGACGCTCGACAGGATACATCGAGCACGTCCAGGAATTCAAGAATACACTTCAAGTTTAGTGCATTTATGGAATGAATATGCAATGCTTGCGTGTATTCTTGTTCATGGTCTGTTTCAAGAAACGTCGTGCGAAGGCTGCTGATGTGGACATGGAGGGCTTAGTAAGTAAACAGTCGGCAGAGGAAAGTGTTCGAAAGTGTTCTAGCACGGCCCGGACGGCGTTGCCTTTAAAGCATCGTAGAACATGCACCCCCGCCATCGCCCACAACAGCGAGACAAAAAGCATGGCATGCCCGCACTGGATAGGGCAAAAGAAATGACAAGGGTGGGATTCGAACCCACGCAGGTTGCCCTACGAGAAACCTCGAGCGAAGAAACTTTGACCTGCTTGGAAGCAGGCAAGCGAAAATGCTTGAGTCACGCGCCATAACCACTCGGCCACCTTGCCGATAGCCATATCTTGTGGTTTTGCTTACTTATATATTGTATTGGAACAAGCCGAGCAAAGCATGCACCCAGGAAGCCGCTGTAATTTGCTCAGCTTCGACCTGTATCAGGGAAGATCTACGTGATGGTCGATGGGAGAAGTAACACGTCATGCTCGTAGGATCGCGGAGTTGCAGTCGGAGATGAAGGACATTCAACAGTCGGGAGAATTTATGCACAGCTGTACCCTCGGTTACCGTGATGGACACGCAGAACTTCGACCGTCGGCAGACTACAAAA